AATGTCCAAGTCCATGCGTTGGTGACCCCTATGTGATCTGGTTTGGTGTGGTCATGAACAGAGTCCGGGTCCATGACAGGCAACGTCAGCAGAAAGAGCAGGCAGGCAGGCAGACACGTCTTCGGTGTCGGGGTGTCGCCATCCAGACAGAGGCATCCGTGCTTCCTGTCTAAATCTAGCTAACGTTGGAGGACGGGTTTCTTTCCTTTGAAAAGGGAAAAATACCAAGACCTGTCCTATACTTACCAAAAATGCCAAATCAAAATAGGGGGGGGGCAGCAATGACGTCAGACAAGTAAGAGCCGTGGGTGTTCACTTCAGATGTGCATGTGATGCCCTAGTGACAGCTCAATGCATGTCAAACCTGCTTGCATGGAAACAAAACAACAAAACAGTTAATTCACAGCTAAACCACAAGGCATGGTGTGCAAACAGTCCCAGTTTCCCAGGAATAAAGCAGCCTTCACCGATCCCTGAGTAAAACAACCCCATCGTCTCCCTAAGCGGAGGCGGTCCGTGGGATTCATTGAGGCAAGCAGCAATAAACAGTAGCAGCATTCACGCAGCCGCGTGTAGTGTCGGTGTTTGGGCGAAAGAGGGCTTCCAGTACCGTGCCAGTCCTGGCAGGGGAGGGGGTCCTCTCACTGGTGGGGGCATGGTTATGCATATGCAAATCGTCTCCCCCCTTTGCTTCCCAAAGCACCTTGGGACTCGCAGATCCCATGATAAACACAATTTATTTAAAGCAGACTAAGCCGGTGAGTGCACTCCTAGGCACACTATAGACATTTTCGGGAGGTCTTATTCAAGATAAAACAACGGTCGCGTGTTCTCGCCGGTGCACCATGATCGCAAACACAGTCTGGCTACAACACCTCCTAGGCTCGGTCTCCATCGGCCATTCCTACTGAATGGGCCAAACCATCGCACAAGGAACCTGAACTCGTGCGCTGTGTGGTGCAGAGCCATGGGATCCCTGGTTGGCTTATAGGTTTGGTGAACTCCGCCTCGAGGTCTAGACCTCTTTTAGCTAGAGGACGAGTGACGCCTCTGCTGTGATCCGATTTCAAATGGATTACCAGTTTTAAACACTCGAGGGTCCCCTCCGGGGGACTCTCTCCCACTCCCAGTCAAGAATAGAAAGTCACAAACAAAAGGATTCCCCCCTTTGAGCCAGTGCCGGTGGCACAATCCAAGGTTCCATTCGGATGCATGGGGATCTCCTTATAAGGAAGGATCGGCCGACGGCCGTGCCCGAGGCCGTTCGTGCGCTCGGACAGCGAAGCGTATGCAGATTAGCAACACGCTAAGCCTCCTGGGTCCAGTTTAAATCATTGAGTAAACAACTCTAAACAGGCAAAGCAATTGCAATACATTTGGAAAACATAGCAAGAAACAACACAGAATCGGGCTGTCGGCTGACAGGCAGACCGACAAACGAACTCTCCGTCGCCATGATTTGCATAGCAGGCGGTGCGATTTAGTGCAGTGGATGAGGCCAGCACCGATTAAGCTCGGGCTTAGGTTCGGCTTGAAGTCAGGCCACGCCAGGGCTCCTCCCTCACCAAGGGGAAGGAGGCTGCACACCTCGGCGCAGGCTGGATTCGCCAAACCTATAACGCAGCCATGGTTTCCAGGCCGCTTAAAGACAACTGGGTGTCAAATTTCTCAGGTTCATCCACACACGCTCGAGTTCGGTTCACCCCCCAAGGGGGTGTTCCCACGAAACTGGTTGAAAGGAAAGATTGGAATTTGGAACAAAAGAAAAATCCTCCGAATTGAAAGAAAAATCTTTTGAACGGGAGCCGCTTGTGTCGCTAAGCAGCTCACTCAATAGATAGAGGGGGGCAGGAGGAGCGGTGCAGACACACCTCCAACCAAAAGAAATAGAGAGGTCCCAATGGTGGAACCAAAGGACTTCACAGGGCGTTGAGGTAGTTCCCGGTCATCTTCTTCGTGCAGCACAAACGCTGCTAGGGCGCAGCCTTTGTAAAGGCTCCACCCCCCCCACTGGTGGTGAAGCCTGAGCGGCTCCCAGCTGCCGGGCCCACCAAACCTCCCCCCCCAACCCCATGGCACCGACGTCGAGGTCCCCACTGCTCCCAGCTGCCGGGCCCGCCAATCCTTCCCCCCACTCCCCTCACCAGCGGCCTTCTCCTGCTTCCCCTGGAGTAGGGAGTAAGAGAGACCTCATCTTGAGGTCTTGAAGAGTTGCAGCAGTAGTTGGTCCAATGATCTGATTCACTGTCAGATTCATTTGTATCTAAGGGTTTTAAAAGCAGTTGAGTCCTGTCTAATGATCCCTAGTTAAAGTTGGCTAGTGAGACGACTAATTGCCCTGACCAAGATGGGCCAAGCTAACCCAATCACATCAGATCTCAGAAGCTAAGCAGGCTGGCCCTGGTTGGTACTTGAATGGGAGACCACCAAGAAAGTCTAGAGTCCTATGCAGAGGAAGGCAATGGCAAACCACCTTTGAACATCTCTTGCCTTGAAAACCCTGTGGGTTCGCCATAAGTTGACTACGACTTGATGGCACTTTCCACCACCACCAATGCAAATTCATGTCTTTCAGGAGAGTAGGGTTGTATATAAGGCCACAGACCATTACATTATTTCACACTGAGAAATACATAGAGACAGAATCTGAACAGCTGTCATAAGTTATGTTGTATTTATCAAATACTTTTAAAAAAAGAAAGAAATCTACTTTGCAGACCATTGGAGGACATTGGCTATGTTTTTTCTTAACAGAAACCTTTCAAGACATGCAAGAAACCAGGACCTAGATTCTATGCATAACAGAGTAACATAAGTACTGGGCTGTCACCCCAATGAACAGAGCTCGAACAGTCCAGATTCCTCCTTTGTGCAATTCCTCATGTCACTTCCAACACTGAAGTAGTAAACACTCGGTCACTAATGTTGCCTGTCCACAGGTGGCAATGTTCACCAATCCTCTCTCACGAGGCACTGGAATGGTCTACTCTTTGGTAATGAGCCCGTGCGTGGATCTCTCTTCTGTTCCATATTTTTGGACAGAATGCATTTCCTTGCAGCAACCTGCAAAAACAATAATGTAGCAAATAAGGAACAGCCACAGTCTTATTTGGTACTTCAGGTCCCTCCTGTCACTCTTTGCTTCTGTTGACGGCATTCTAAACTTCATAGAATTCAGAAAGTAAAATTTGTTCATACTGAGCTAATGAATACAAAATGCTTTGAACTATTCAAAACGGATCTTCCTGAGAGACCAGTATCTATTCTATACAACACAGTATTTCAGCATAAATTGGATCCTGTCAGGTCACACACCGTTACAAAATTTTATACTGAGAAATATGTAGAATCCTAATTGTCAGAATTTGGTTTTTATTTATCAAAATGTTTTTGAAAAACCTGCTTTGTAAATTTTTGGAGGCTATTGGCTCTGGTTCCTCTTAACTAACAGAGGTCTATTAAACAAAGTCTGAGTCCAGCGGCACCTTTAAGACCAGCAAAGTTTAATTCTGAGTATGAGCTTTCATGCCCATGCTGCACATGAAAACCTATACCCAGATTTCAACTTTGTTGGTCTTCAAGGTGCCACTGGACTCGAACTTGGTTCTGTTGTTTCAGACCAACACAGCTACCCACAAGAAGGCTATTGAGGCATGCAAGAAGGAGACTGGGACCTAGTTTCTACAGCCAATAGAACAATGTATTTCCATTCTGAAATGGTACAGTAATTTGCTAGTTATCCTGAGGGGCTTCTAGTACCTTAAAGACTACTGAATTTATTGCAGCACAAGTTTTTGTGAGTCAGAGCATACTTTGTCTGATGCAAGAAAACTTGAAACGTGAAAGCTCATACCACAATAAATTCTGAGCTGCCACAAGAATCTCTCCTATTTATCTAGAGAGCATCTGAAGGTTTATGGACATTCCTCTGCTCTTCCAGTTCTGCCAAGAGATCTTTAAGGCTACCCCTGCAACTGTACAATCCTGTTTTAACCATATGTTATTGTGCATTTCTGGGTGGTCTTCCACACATTAGCATAGGCTACATCCTTCTAATTCTTGGAAACATCTTACTGCTTGACAGAGTACATACAATGGTAAACCTTGCATACGTGGACCTACGCTTTCCTAGGGATGATACGTGCTATGCTTGCAGCAGCTCTAAAAATATAACTGGGCAATGGCAAACTAGGGTATCTTTGTGATGTGTTTGGTTTCTTTTGAGTTGCCCCTGCAAATGTAGCCTGATCCACAGCCCAGGGCCCTGCGTCCGAGCACTGATCTTAGACAACAGAACTGCAGCTGTTCTGCAGAGCTAACCCCAAAAGTTACCAGGGAACATAGGAACCTGCTAAAGAGCTATTTTGTTTATTACAATAGAACAAAGGAAAACTTTATTTTTATCACCTGGATCAGGATCTAGGAAGAGGGAGAAATGGAACAAGCCAGTACTCTATTCAAACTATACCTTGTTTTAAAACTATGGACACATGATTCTCATTGAAGTGACCCTTGTCTGTCCCTTCCTTCTGTCCCTTAAGGCGGGGGTATGTCTCCTGTTTCTAGTTATCCAAACTCAGCAGAGTTTCAGGTCCTTGATGTGTGGACACATAACCTCAGAATCATACTGTGGCATGCACAGCAACCTGGAAAGTTGATATGAAGGATGCTGCTCAAACTGTAGTGGGCTCCACAGACGTCACCCTCTCCCTGTTTATATGGTGCATGAGACAGCTTCAAAGCAGTGATCCTTGTCCTTCAACAAGCAACAGAAATTCTATTCAGTCCTCCCTATCCTTGGAATCTATAGCTGAACAGGAAGCAAGAGAAGAAGAATCTGTATAGTTGCATCATGCAAATCTCCCAAAATTGTTTTATGTGACTCGGATTTGGGGAATATTGCCCTGATCAAGCAGGTCTCTGGAGAGGTGGCATATAAATGGACTGAAATCAATGCTGATATTTTCAACTAAGCTACTCCATAGCTGCTGCGCTGAGACTTACCGTTTCTTTGAGAACTGCTGGTCTATTTCTTCAAGAGACTGTCCTTTGGTTTCTGGTACAAAAAGATAAATAAATATAACAGCCACCACTCCCACTAGTCCATAGAAAAGGAATGTCCATGATAAGCCAATGACCTCTGCAAGCAGAAGAAAAGCAGAACAAAGTTTGACAAGGCTTTTGCTTTGACCTGATGGAAGTTGGTATATTTATCAAACCTGAGTAGCCTTATTAACATGGGAGGGGGTACATCAAACAAGGCCAACAAAATATTTTTTCATAGCTAAAACTACAGAGCACAGGTTGGAATTCAGCTCTGTAGGCAACTGGTTCCCTACGTGTCTCACCCTGACCTAGCCACAGTGATCCACGCAATGGTCACCTCTAGGATAGACTACTGTAATTTGCTCTGCGTGGGCCTGCCCTTGCACCTGACCCAGAAGCTCCAACTGATCCAGAATGCAGCCACACAGGTCCTTACTGGGACCCCTTGGACAGCACATATCCCACTGGTGCTGCATGAGCTGCACTGGCTTCTGGTGGGGCACCAGATCAAGTGCAAGGTCTTGGTTCTGACCACCTCGGGACCGCCCCTACCAGTATGCCGCCAGAAGAGCACTGCGCTCAGGAAACAAGAACTTCCTAGTGGACCCCAGCCTGAGAGAAATCCAGCTGTCCTCAACCAGGGCCAGGGCTTTTTCAGCCCTGGCCCCCACCTGGTGGAACTCTCTGCTGGAAGACATCCGTGCCCTGCAGTAGTTATTACCTTTCCGTAGGGTATGTAAGGCAGAGATGTTCCACCAGGCATTTGGTTGAGGACAGTGATGGGGGAGGACATCTGGCACTCTCATTTACTCCCCCATCCCTCATAACCCCTCCCCCCAAGGAGATTAGGGGAGCTGATTTTCTGCCATCTGGTATATGAAGAGAAGAGAAGAAGAGTTTGGATTTATACCCCACCCTTCACTACCCAAAGGTGTCTCAGAGCGGCTTACAAACTTCTTTCCCTTCCCCTCCCCACAACAGACATAGGTGGGCCTGAGAGAGCTCTGACAGAAACTGCTCTTTTTCAAGAACAGCTCTTATCAGAGCTATAGTTTGCCCAAGGTCATCCAGCCATATGTAAGTGGAGGAGGAGTGGGGAATCAAACCTGGTTCTCCCAGATTAGAGTCCGCGCACTTAACCACTACACCAAACTGGCTCTTGTTTCTTGTTTTCATCCATTGATCTGTTTTAATAGTTTTAATGTTGTTTAGTTATTATTCTGTTGTAAGCCGCCCTGAGCCCTACTTGTAGATTTGCCTAGCTAATCTAATTTAATACATAATAAACAAATAAATAGGTAGAGAGCTCCCAGCTTCTAGAGCACAGAGCTAAGTCTTGATTGCCAGCTATTCATGGAAGGCTTCAGATCCAGCAACAAACCAATGGTTTGCTATTATGGCTCCCTGGGTTTCGAACATTCTCTCCCTTTCCTACACTCAGCTCAATAAACAAAAAGACTTCCCCCACAGTTTGGTATTCATTCTAAATTGAAAATTGCTTCCTTCCATCTAGGCAGGATTCAAAAACCAGGATGAAAACATTTCTTGGAGTCCCGGTTCAGAGGACAAAAGCAAATCACAACAGCTACTCTCAGATGCAGTGAAAGATCATTAGGAGAATGAGTCTTGGAAGCTGTCAGGCTCCTACACTCTTTTTTGCATGTGGCTTGGGAACAGAAAGCTGACTGTTGGTCATTGTGTCTGGAGCCCTAAACTATGGTTTGATTGCTGCCTACAAACCAGTGTTTAAATGTGGCAACTATTAGCGGAGAGTATTAGCAAGATGCACTTGCCATGTACCCAGTCAGTTAATGTACATGTGGCAGGACAAATGCTGCACCATGCTGTAGAGCCACTCATGTAGGAGTGTGCCATTGCCTATAACATATACAGGATAACACACTACTGAGAATCAACTGCAGGGCTCCGCCCCTTCCATTTTTGGTGTCAACACTGTGTGTGTGTGTGTGTGTGTGTGTGTGTGTGTGTTCCTAGAAATAATATGGCTAAACGTGTATGGGAAAAATTCCCCCATGCCTGCACATAAAATGTCAGTGTGGCAGATGCACCAAAGCAAAAAGTGGAGATTTGTGGTATGGAAAACCTAACCAAAGACCAGAAACCTGTGAATATAATAACAAAGAATTTATAAAAATAACTTGTAAATTTTTATCAAATGTTCCAATCTGAATGAAGATTATTATACAAAATATCTCTGGTGTCAGTTCAATATTGAAAACATCTTCAAGTCCCAACAAATTTCCTATCTGAGTCAGTCTTTCTCAGTAATCTTATTGTTAAATGTTATTTAAAATAACATTTAAAATGTGTTTACTAGATATAAATCAAAATTCCACAGGATTAGGACACAGTAAATTTTCCTCATTTTTCTGGAAAACCCTTATCACCAGCCATGTCATCACTTTGGCAAACCCTCTACTGCTTGACAAAAGAAAAACAGGTATGTAAGAAACGTCCCCATGCGCACCCCTCAGCATCCGGCCTGACCAGGCTGGCTGTAAAGCAAACATGTACATAACGTATCAGCACCGCCACACATACCAATGATGTTGAGGAACGTGAGACTGATCAGCAGATTAGCGGCCCAGTTGAAGCAGTTGCAAAAGGCAAAGGCTCTTCCTCGTATTCCAGCAGGATAGATCTCACTGAGGACAAGCCATGTCACTGTGGCAGGGGAAAAGGAAAAGAACAGAGTGAGGAAGGGGAAGGAAACAGAATACACTGACCAGTATCTTTGCTGACATGGACCTGATGTGAAAAAGCTGCGACAACTGGAACATCAGGGTTCCACTGGACTGGGTGGCTGAGAACATCTAGACATGAGTTTGTTCCGGAGAGCTGAAAGTAGCCTGAAAGACGGGGGTCACTGCTTAAGAGCTGCATGCATTCATTTCACTTCTGCCTCTGCAGAGGAGATCTGCAGGTCTTTGTACTGTTCCAAAAACATGCAAGGATTCCAAAGGGGGCAGCCAATAAAAGTGAATGCTCCATTGAGAAATGATGCCTCTCTCAAACCGTTCTTTTAAAATCTTTGTCCACCTTCAGCCTTACATAGCCTAGACCATAATCAGAGCTTGACTTCAGCCCACTAATTTATGACCTTGGTGTTTGTTTGTTTTTCAGGGGGAGCCAGGAAATAAATACAGAGTTGTAGAATGGTTTCCAGACCACATCCCTAAATACTGTTGTGTTCTTCACTGCCCCTTTACTTTACACATTTGAAACGGTATACATGCCTCTCCCACCCAGTTATCATGATTTAAAAATGAAGAGAATGGGCAACTGGTCCGATAAATGTGATGCAGGTTTAATAGTGTTGCCAGGTGCTTCCAGGCCACTGGTGGGTGAGGTAGGGTTGCCAGATCCAGGTTGAGAAACTCCTGGAGATTTGAGGATGGAACCTGGGGAGGACAGAGACCTCAGCGGGGTGCAATGCCATAGAGTCCACCCCCCAAAGCATCAATTTTCTCCAGGGAAACTGATCTATGTAGTCTGGAGATTTGCTGTATCTCCATGGGATCCCCAGGTCCCACCTGGAGGTTGGCACCCCTATGCAGGTAACAGGAAGCAGAATAAGAAGCTCTATGAGATTCCAAGAAGGCTTATGTATATTTTATATGCAAAAATGGTAACGAAAAAGAATAGCTAATGTGTTAGTAGCGAAAACTACCAAGAATCCCACACTATCTTTAAGAAATTTACGGGCCATAGAAGCGTCTATGGGTTGGAGCCCAGTTTGGTAGATACATAACACACACACACACACACACACACACACACACAGACCCCATATTCCCAAGGAGATTAGCATAAAAAATAGCCAAAAGACAGTGGTGAATGAGCACAGATAAACAGAAAGTGTTCCATAAAGCAAAAGATTGTGCTAATCAAGGGGCAGAAGGATATTCCAAATGACCAACTGTGACAGATTGCATTTTTAAGAAGCTTTGAAGTGCTGTACAAACTACTAAATGACTATGAAGGGGTAATTCTTCACAGAGCAAGAGAGCCTTGAGTGACAGGCTGCTCTAAGGAATCTTATTGGTTAGCATCAAATGAGCAGAGACAATCTTGAGAGAGCTGCATGCTGAGAAGAGAGTCAGTCAGATTTCTACCCTGACTGAGTTGAGTCTGATTTCAGCCTTAGCTGAGAGCAGTTTAACACAAATGGAGAACTCGGGGAAAGTTGACAAGGAAGTTTGGGAAATAGGCGAAAACTCCCATTCAGGCCAAGGAAAGGGGATGAAAGAGTTGGGTATGTTTAGCCTGGGAAAGTCAAGGCTTAGAGGGGACATGATTGCAGTCTTCAAGTAGTTGAAGGGCTGTTATGTAGAAGATGGAGCGGATCTATTCTTTCTTGCTCCGGATTGGAAGACTAGATCTAATGGGTGGAAATTACGAGGGAGTTGTTACTGGCTAAATATCAGGAGAAACTGCCTAACTGTAAGAGTGGTTGAGCAGTGGAACAGATTGCCTCGGGAGGTGGTGGATGCACCTTCGCTGGACGCTTTCAAGCAGAGGCTGGATGGCCATCTTTCGGGTTATGGTGTAGGGCTATCTTTTGGCTATGCTCCTGCAGAGTTTGACTAGATGACCTGCAGGGGGTTGGACTAGATGACCTGCAAGGTACCTTCCAACTCTAACATTCTATGGTTCTATGATTCTAGAGAAAGAAGAAAATTCCATACCCAGTCAAGCAGGGAGTTCTCTCTGAAGAGGGCAGAGATCCCTGGTCTGGTGTGGTTATAAACTGCCTTTAGAGACCTTAAGGGTCAGTTAAAACTCAAGATGAGTACTGGTGTTTCAAGAGAAGAGGTTTGGGTACTGATAAGAGTGTACCAGCCTTCTAGAAACCAAGGAAAGTGTACTTTTGTCACTATTTGTCACCAAACAATATGACTGGTTAGCATCAGCTGAGCAGAGACAGACATGAGAGCTGCATGCTGAGGAGAGAGTCAGTCAGATTTCTTGGAGCAGCCTGTCACTCAAGGCTTTCTGTTTCTGTGAAGAATGAACCCTTTACAGTCCTTTAGTTAAGCTTCTTGGTAGTGCAGTCTGTCACACCAACGTTCTGAGTCACATGTCCAAGCATATTGGGAGGAGCACCATCAGAGCAAAGCTAGCATATGTTTGGTGAAATACTCTCCTGGCACATGAAGAAATGTGAGCAGTGAGATGTGGACTGCACAAGCCACTCATGAAATCTCCCTGACCCAACTCATGAAAGTTAGCCTGTACATCTTTAAAAACGGTACTTCTTCCCCCTCCTGACTTTTCTTGAGAGAGAGAAAAGTGTTCATTGGTGGAGTGCCAAAGGAAGATATTCTCTTATTAAAACCACCTCCATGCTTCCAAGGGTCCTGCCCAACATGAGTTCCCCTTTTTGGGCTACCTTATGGAATAGGCATGGAGCACTTGTATTAAGCGCTTTGGAGTCACATTATGTAGGAGAAACTTACAGGCACTGCAGACTGGATAAAGGTTTGCCTGCAACTCTGCATGTTACAAATTTAACCCACATGTCAAACTCCATATGTATTTGGGAGGATGCTTTATACATGTTTCTACAACTGTGCATGTAAGTAAGATTCCAAAAGCAGTCCCAATTCTTGGAAGTCTTTTATTGACAGGTGGGGGAAGCCTTGGACACCACGGCATCTATACACTTCTGCCTAAGCGAGGACTGCAACTAAGCTCTCTCTTAATGCTTGGCCAGAGAAGCATAGAGGTGGCATCCAGAGAAAAAAAGAGAGCTGCCTCATTTGGACATTACACTGGCCGCTTAGTTGAAGGCACGATACAGAGTGCCTCTACGGATCACAAGTAGAAAGAGAATGGACCCACGGTTCTGTTGCTGTACAGGCAAAGGATGTGCCCCATGATATCCCAGAATCAAGCCTACCATCTCCCATTCAAGGATCTCAGGCCATAGAGCACAGAAAGGATTCTGCCTAAGATTCTGGAAAACAACTGCCAGAGTAAGCAATACAGGCTGTGTAGAGCACTGATGTGACTTGGCATTAAGGCAGCAACAGAGGTTCAAAAGAAGCAAAAAACAAACACAGTCACAGCGATTATCCATGGGGAAAAAATCAAGCAAGAAATGGCTCAGGGATGACAGGTGAACTTTCTTGTTTCTAGGAGCAAAAGCAAGCTATTGTAAGTGACTGGGGGAAAAAAATCCTTAGCCTTTCTCTCCTGGACACTTTACCTGGAGTGGGATGCAGCAGAAAAGGAGAAAACAGGATGGGTCACTTCAGAAACTATGTAGATTCCTGTTTACATTTGTGTGCCTCTATGGGTTTCTTGTTTCAGAGGTCCTACTGCACTTATTCTGTTATGACCCAACACAGCTGTCTGGGAAGTTCAGAATCTCCAATCAGAGCCACACGCATGGTGTGCTGGGAATGTGAAAGCAGAAGTACACTTACTTGGCCCAAACCCAATGGAGAATGCGCTCACAAAAGCCATCAAGCTTAGCAGCGTAATCCAGCTGAGAATCAACCGTTCCTTAGAAAGGGCCTCAGGGACAGAGGAGCCAGAGCTTCGTGCCTTTCCTTCAGGGGATGGATCTAGCAGGCCTGCTTTTTCAGCGCGTGAGGAAACGTTTGCCATTTTGCCTCTGTGTTTATTGCTGGCAACAGTTCCGCTGAACCCTCCTGGCCTCGTGATAGCAAGAGATGGATCTGCTTGAATCCCACCAGTGTCTGATGTCCAGGGGAAGTATGACATATTGGGCTGGGGAGACACTGCCTTCATAGGGAAAGGATCTGAACCAAACAAAGTGCTGTTTGACCCTACTGGCATTTCACAGTCTTTGGCCACGTTGAATGGAATGGAGCAGCTGGTCAAGCCAATGGCCGTCACCGAACAGGCCATCACTGTGCACCCAGCCATCAACAGTACCCTCCGGCCAGCCTTATCTGCAAAAACCATTGCAACTAAAGTGGCTGCAACCTTCACCACTCCTAAGCCGACAGAAGCCAGGACTGCAGAGGAGTCACTCTGAAAGCCAACGGAGCGGAAGATTTTGGAGGCGTAACCAAGAATATTGGGCTGCCCTGTGAGCTGCTGGAAGAGCACTAGTCCGAGGCCCACCAGAGTTCTGCTTCTCATGTTGTCCCTTGAGCTCAGAAGGTCCACAAGAGAGTAATGCTTCTCCTTTGGGCCCTGCGGCATTACGTCTTCACCCTCTTCATTCTTCTGTAGCTGAATGAGGCTTCTGCGAGTCTCGCTGCCACATACGTTCAGCTTAACGGAGTTCTTTGGGAGGAACAGGGTGCAGAAAAACTGAACGGCTGCGGGGCCCACGGCCAAGCCAAACATGTACCGCCAGCCCTCTGCCGTATCCGAGAAGATGTAATTCAGAGCGTACGAAAGTAAGATGCCCACTGTGATGCCAGCTTCATAGAGGGAAACCAGCACCCCCCGCCGATGCGCGGCCACCAATTCAGAGACATAGATGCAGCACGCCATGGATGACAACGAGATTGCAAATCCTACAGTCATGCGCCCAAACACCAGGCAAACAAAGGACCTGGCTAGCGTGAGGAGGAGGCTTCCGCACAGCAAGATCACATTGCTGACTTGTATTGCTCTCTGTCTTCCTTGTCGGTCAATGAAGATCCCGCCCACTAAAGAAGCCAGGAGAGCTCCAATGAGCAAGGAACTCACTAGGACTTCCTGTTCAAGACAGCCAAGACGGAAGTCGAGCTGCAGCTGCAACAATGCCCCGGAGATAATTCCGAATTCATACCCGAACATTAACCCGCCAAGGAGGGAGACGGTTGAAGACAACAGGAGGACCATCAAGGCATGCCCTACAAATCGAGGGAAACAAAGGTGAGATTTCAGTCTGCTGTTCGTCTACCTTTTACATAAAATCTTACAGGAAAAGAGAACCAGTGCATTTATAAAACAATGATTAGATTTGGGGGGGCTTACTATTTGTCTGCACATGCAAGAATGATGGAGATTTAAAGGACCAGCAGTGTTAATCCAGGGAGGCAGGCATCCCAACCCTGATAACACACACCTGAAGTCAGATTTTGGCCAATCAGAATCAGGTTTCCTCAGTAAGAAACAGTCTAAGGGGGGCTTACTTTTTGTCTGCACATGCAAGAATGATAACACACACCTAAAGTCAAATTTTGGCCAAACATAATCAGGTTTCCTCAGTAAGAAACAGTCTATGCACACCCTATTCCTATTGCAAACAAGATGCTATCTTCTTCAATTATTAATCAAGGTCATTGTTAGACAGCACTGACCATTCTGTTAGTATTTTTTTTAATCTCCTGGAGGATTGTGAAAGATAATCTCAAATTGGCAGAAAGATTAACAGAGCATGGACATCGACACAGCCCAGTCAACATTTGAAAGGGAAAACTGATGCAATAATTTTACACAAAGCGACCAAGGAGTTGATACACCACAGTCCAGATATATGTGTAGGCGCTAAATCCTGGTAGAATCAATTGACTAAAGTTAGCAGTGATTGACACGACTCCCAGAGCTTTCAGTGGGACTCAGGGTGCAATGGCAGGCAGAATTACACCCTTCAAAGTCCACTGAAATCAACGGGGTTAAGAAGGGTGTAACTCAGGAACATACTGCAAGTCACAGCTAATTTAAACTGGGTTTGCACCTTAGCATGAGACTAACCAAACAAAATTAACGACAGCCTTTCCTGTAAACTGGGAGCACACTCTGTCAAATAAAGTTTAAAATATTGAACTTCAAACATTTGTTATATCACTCTTCAAATACTTATGAAATGATTATTTACTGTGCAAATGACACAGCGCCCATCTCTGCCCAAACAGAAAACTCCAGTCTTAAGTAACAATCCAGCCCCTGCAGGAGCTAGTGAGGGACTCTGGCTATGAATCTCAAAGTCTGGGTGCAGTTCCCACCTCTGCTGCAGACTGGCTTTAGCCAAGCTCTTCTCTTTCAACCTCAGCCCTCCCTATGTGATGATTTCCTTACATGGTTGTGGTAAAGATTACAGATAAGTCATATGTGAAATGCTCTGAACTCTCTGAAGCTACACAAATGCTGGAGAGGGGGCTGTGGCTCAGTGGTAGAGCATCTGCTTGGCATGCAGGAAGTCCCAGGTTCAGTCTCTGGCATCTCCCGTTAAAGGATCTGGCAGTAGGTGATGTGAAAGACCTCTGCCTGAGATCCTGGAGAGCTAATGTCAGTCTGAGCTGACAATACTGACTTTGATGCCAGGGGTCTGATTCAGTATAAGGTAGCTTCACGTGTTCATGTGAATAATGTTGCTGCAATTTTAACAAAGGCTCCCTGCAAAAGGCAGATAATCCCTATGCTGTTTCAATTACATTGGCTCCATTTATTTCCAGGTTCCAGAGTGCTGGTTTTGACCTTCAAAGTCTTAAATTGCTCAGGCCCAATTTACCTGCAAGACAACCTACCCACGTTGCAGGTCCCCACGACTGCAACGAAGTACACTCTTACTAGAGGTTATACGTTTATTGAAGCCGTGAAGCACATGTACAAGAGCAGTGTTAGGAATAACATGAATCCAAGGGACATGGAAGGTTAAAGCAAATTCATAATCACATCAGCCAATAATCAGGGTTCCTGCCTGCGCGGCTCATTGGTGCCACTCGCGCCTAAACCGTGAGATGCAATGGTTCCCTAGAAATAAACAAGAAAACCATTCCACGGCTTCCCCTAATTAAAACACAGCGAAGCTCCTCGGCTCTCCACCTGCGGCCTTGAGTAGATAGCGTTACAGCAAAGCAGGACTTGCGTACCCAGAAAGGAATGTAGAGCTGAGAGCTAAAGGGGAAATGCGCATGAAAGGCCAAGCGCATATTGGAGAGGGGGGGGGAACCTAGGGGTGACCATATACCTCAGACCCCTATAAACCTTTTGGCAGCTTGCTGACACTACCATCTGTATAAACCTCCTTTAGGGCTGCCAGCTCTGGGCTGAGAAATACCTGGAGATTTGGGGGGTGGAGCCTGGGGAGGGTGGGGTTTGGGGAAGGGAGGGACCTCAGCTAGGTATAATGCCCCTTTCAAAGCAGTCATTTTCTCCAGGGGAACTGATTTTGGTCATCTGGAGAGCAACTGTAATAGTGGGAGATCTCCCGGTGCCACCTAGAGGTTGGTACCCGTAACCTGCTTTGAGAAAACAGGTACCACATATGGGGGAGCCCTTTGCTTGAACTCCTGGTGCATGAGAGGAAAAGTCCTATTAGAGGAGTGATCCCAATGTGGCACTGAGGGCAACAGCTCAATGTGTGTTCTTGGGTCCTGCTGCTTCTTCAGTTTTGGGGATGGAACCCTGAAAGGTCTTGAAAGGGACAGAAACAAACAGAGAGTTTCTTGTTGTTCCCTAAGAACAACTGACCAGCTAACACAGCTCTGAGCTCATCCTGGGCAGCTACAACACTCACAGCTAATCACTGTGAGCTTGGTCACAGTCATAGATTTTCTTGGAGACATCTCTGAATAGCCACACTAAGAGCACCCCCTTTCTTTGGAAACTGAAACCAAACATATCTTCCTCAAAGCAAAAAGCTGATCCCAGCTTCCCCCCCCCCCCCCCCCCCCATCCCGGAGGTG